AAAAAATATGTATGCAATACTATTATTTTCCTGAAAAAAGCGCAAAACTGGCATTCGCAAGAACTGCGTATGTTCTTCAATACCCCTTTTTTTTATGCAGCAATAAAGGAAAAAAATAAAAAGAAGAAAATCAGTAAGCCACAACGCACCCTTACTTCGTGTTGAAGTCACTTATCAAATTAAGTGCTCAGAATCGCCATATCTTATTGAGAAGGATGCATGTTTTTCCTTTCACAAGGCAAATTTTGAAATTTGCGCGCTTAGAACTAACAAATTTCAAACAAAAACTTGCTTAAAACGTCAAAAATTTTCAGTTAAATTAGTTCTTTATAGAGCCCTGATAACAAAACAAAAAACGTTTTACAGAAGTTAAGGAGGCTGGAAAGGGTTTTTAGATGCACGCAATTGACTTTAAATGTTGCTTGAAATTGCGCGAACCCGAAATAAAGTTCTGCGAAATACATTTGTTTCTAAGAAATGTTCGGTGACCAATCTGATTTTTTTTGCAACTGATCGAAACCATTTACGATGGTACTTCAAATATGAATTGGTTCGGGAAAAAAACCCAACGTATGTTTAGAATTTTTCTTCAAGCCATAAATCGCATTTTGTTTAAATATATTTAATTCTACCAGATGCGTTTTTTTCCATACTGTCTGAAAAGAATAAAAAATTTCGGGAACTTTCCAACAAAAGACAACCAAAAATGGTAGGTCACCGAATTAGTTTTTCAGATAATTTACTGACAAAAAACTAAAATTTAGTGGACAATTAAACGTGGACCTTGTGCGTTGCCATGGTAACTGATATGACGTCACTAACATAAAAAAACAACCCTCAAAGTATAGCCCAGCAATGGAGTTACGAGGAGACATATAGTTTGCCCACCCCATTAAATATCCTTCTTTGTAATCTTCCATCGTTTCACAAACATTGCAACAACGAAAAACCCTTTCGAGCCTCCTTAAAACTAACAAAGTAATCAAACGTTAACTACAGAGCACGCTTTGACCTAACAAGACAGTCAAAAATAAACTACAGAGCGCGCCTAGAACTAACAAAAAAATCAAACGTAAACTACAGAGCGCGCTTAGACCTAACAAGACAGTTAAACATCAACTACAGAGCGCGCTTAGAACTAACAAAAAAATCAAACGTAAACTACAGAGCACACTTAGACCTAACAAGACAGTTAAACATAAACTACAGAGGGCACTTAGAACTAAGAAAACAATCATACATAGACTACAGAGTGCGCTTAGACCTAACAAGACAATCAAACATAAATTACAGAGCGCGCTTAGTAACAAAACAATCAAACGTAAGTTACAGAACGCGCCTAGAACTAACGAGACAATCAAACGTAAATTACAGAGCGCGCTTAGACCTAACAAGACAATCAAACATAAATTACAGAGCGCGCTTAGTAACAAAACAATCAAACGTAAGTTACAGAACGCGCCTAGAACTAACGAGACAATCAAACGTAAATTACAGAGCGCGCTTAGACCTAAAAAAACAATCAAACGTAAACTACAGAGTGCACTTTGACCTAACAAGACAGTCAAATATAAACTACAGGGCACGCTTAGAACTAACAAAACAATCAAACGTAAACTACAGAGCACGCTTAGACCTAAAAAAACAATCAAGCATAAACTACAGAGCGCGCTTAGACCTAACAAAACAAACAAACATAACCAACAGAGCGCGCTTTGAACTAACAGAAGAATTAAACGCTAACGACAAAGCACGCTTAAAACTAACAAAACAATCAAATGTAAACTACAGAGCGCAGTTAGACCTAACAAAACAATCAAACGTAAACAACGGAGCGCGTTAGAACTAACAAAAGAATCAAACGTTAACTACAAAGCGCAGTTATAACTTACAAAGTACAAAGTACCCCTCACACATGGAGGACAGAGGTGGCAAAGGATTACTTGTTCTGCAATCTGTTGTAACTCTGACCCATTCTCCGCGTCCTTGCTTTATTTTCCTAGTGTCGGTGCACTTTGGTGACGTGTGCACGACGGGTAGTTGTCAAAACGTACTCATAAAGCAATGAAGGAAAGGAGAACGCACCGCTGAGGGATACAATGGGCATCGAACGATTTTTATTACCGAGTTGCTGTGCATCAAAAAACGAACGAGCGAGTTTTTTTTATGCAAAGCAACGAGTGAATAAAAATCGTTCAAGCATTTTCCATGGTGTAATGTTTTTATTTCATACGTACTGAGATTTTTTCTTACTGAAAGAAACACGCTTGTTGCCCTCCACTGTGAAGTACTATCGTTCATGTCTACGATTGGACGAACGATGTATTTTCAGTCGTTCGCTCAGTATGTACGAAATAAATTACGGTACTTTCAATGTTTTGAGAATCAGATACCGTATCAACACTTTTTTGAGCATAAATCTTTCCAAATCCTGAATAATTACTATTTGTTATCAGAACGATTGTCTGCCGCAATCCTCAACCCTTAACAAAAGGATCTATTTTTTTTGGTGAAAGAACGTTTCCTGTCCACGTAGAACGTTTGAAGTACTACCCTTCTGATCCCCTAACTCTATCAACTCGGACGTCGTCCGGTTTAAAAGTTCCATTTTCTAAAAAGCAACTGAAGTGGTTGCGTTAACAAATTTTTTAAGGGTTTAAGTAGTTCAGGAATTAAAAAATTTATATTTAAATTTCCATAGTTACAAAAGTGCCCTAAAAGTTACCAAAATGCCCTGCACAGTTACAAAAGTGCTTGTCACGTTACAGAAGTGCCCTTTTGTGTTACAAAAGTGCCTGAAAAAAGATAGAAATGTGCCCTTTCCTCCAGCTCTCCCTCTCTCTCTCTCTCTCTCTCTCTCTCTCTCTCTTTCTCTCTCTCTCCCTCCCTCTCTTCAACAATGTTTTTGTAATTGCGCTGTTGTGGGTTTTTTTTTGTAATAATATGTGTGAGGGTTGGGGTGAAGTTGATTCATGTCTAGCTCCCTCTCTCTCTCTCTCTCTCTCTCTCTCTCTCTCTCTCTCTCTCTCTCTCTCTCTCTCTCTCTCTCTCTCTCTCTCTCTCTCTCTCTCTCTCTCTCTCTCTCTCTCTCCCTCTCTCTCTCTCTCTCTCTCTCTCTCTCTCCCTCCCTCTCTTCAACAATGTTTTTGTAATTGCGCTGTTGTGGGTTTTTTTTTTGTAATAATATGTGTGAGGGTTGGGGTGAAGTTGATTCATGAAAGCACCGGGTGGTACAATTGGCGCCATACATCTTATCATCAAAACACTTTTTTATGAAACTTTTTCACCAACATTTTCAACTCAAAATTTGGGCGAAGGATTGATGAATTACGCTTGTAGTATCAAATTATTTGAGTTTTATTTTCAACACTTAAGTTTTGTTTTCAAAATTCAAGTTCTATGCGCACTTCGGTCAGGATTTCAAGTCTCCCATTCTGTCGCTTTAAGGTAGCTGTCATGGGAAAACCTTTTGACGGAGCTGAAATCTCACCGAAGTAATTAATAGTCTCGTCAAAAATATATATATATATTTAATCGCTTTTGTTTAGTGGGGTGACAGAATCACTCTGTCAGCGTTACCCAATCATTACTCTGTCAGTTCCACGCAGCTATTTAGTCGTTTGCTGCTCTGTCAGTTGTGCACAAATTTTCTGTCGGTTAGCCAATTTACTTTGAAGGTATACGCACTGTTGCACCATGATGCCTTGCACATAAACGAAAATTAAACCAAAATTGAAGTTGAAGAGAAACTGAAATAAAATTTACTGAACTGGAAATGAAATTGAAATTAGGCTTTCTTTCCAATTACGCCGATAAATTCACCAGAAACGAGTTAATTCACCCGACACCACCCTAAATGACAGCGAAATAATGTTTTAAAATTCTCCTTTACAACAGTGGCTCAATTTCTCAGCACCGGCTTGAGAATCGCTTTATCCCAATTCAACTGAGACAATTGCGCTTTCTTGGTAAACGTTGAGGAAGGCGCGGGTTCGAGTTCAGGTACGGCTATCATAAACAATCTGTATATTCTTCATATATGAGTACACCAATTGTGATTTGACTCATTCACGAAGATACCACTGACATCAATACCGTCGATTCAAATTCAATATGTCGGAGAAACAGAGGACACCTTGTAAAGTAGATTATAGCAAAACTAGAATACCTTTATGAAAACGTTAGCTCGGATAGTCCAGTTGGATGATGATGCTGACGCGAAGAAGCGTACAGCTCTGGAAAAACGTGACAAATAGAGTGCGAGCAACGGTTGTTTTGCAAATAAAAGTCACAAGTAATGTTCAGTATTTCTACACTCACGCAGGTTTGTGATAAATTAACTACGTGATATATTTGTAAACGGAGTAATGTAGTGTAACATTGTGGTAACACTATTTCTGATCCTTTTGTTATATCTTCAACCTTTCAAGGCCCTCTTCATTCTGGGGAATACGAGATGCAGGAACCAAAGTCAGTTGATGAAGTGTACGTGACAATTATGTAACTCATTCTATTAAGCAAACAGAACCTTTTCGTTTACAACATCGTGAGCCAAAATTATTTCAATCGGAAACTTATTGTAGTTATTATCGATATTAAGGAGAACGGTATACTAGTCTAAGCCTCTCTTTGTTGGCCACAAGTCCTCTTAAGAAGTAAAGGAATATGGCCCAGCTTGTGTTCACTGCAACGAAATTTCTTATTGATTTAATTATTAATTTTTGTGAAATCTGGGCAAGCCACTTTAGGGAAAACACACAAGATTCCTATATGAAGACGAATATATCAGGCTGGTAAATGCAATGGGTCAGATGTTACTCTGAAAAGTTACATTGAAGCAACTTTTCAATGAGAAATTGCAATTCAAACTATATGGTGATCATTCTGATATTTTTAAACTAGTTCCCAACTCAGCTGAAGGTAGTAGCTTGTGGTGCTGATTGAATTGGTTTGGTAAATTAGTCTTTTATATACTTTTGATCTTAATAACCTATTTCTTTTTTCTGGAAAGTGTAAATGTCACATATATTGATCGCACTGGAGACAAAATAAAAGTTAGAGGGAAAATAGGAGACAACTTGCTATACTTGGCACACCGTTATGGCATAGAAGTGGAGGGTAAGCTACATGTTTTACAACTAAGCTAATTAATTTGCTTTTAGTAATGGAAAGTGCCCATTAACCACTGGCAATTGCTTTACTTTCAAAAGAGCCATTAAGGATGCAAGATATTTAAAACAGAAAGTTAATACATAGTAGATTTAAGTGAAACTCGAAGCAAATTAACAAGGTGTTACAAATATGAAAATGTATTTTCTCAAACTGTGTTTATTGCTGCCATGACCAAGGAAGTTGAAGGTTGAAGGGCTGGATTTATTTATGATGGAGCAATCAGGATTGAGGTCAACCATGCATATATGAGGAATGTATCATTAACATTTATACTTTATGATGTTTGAGTAAAGAAACTTTCAGAAATTATTCTTGTTTTAAAGGAGCATGCGAAGCATCATTAGCCTGTTCCACGTGTCATGTCTATGTTAAGGAAGATTTTTTGGAAAAGCTTCCTGAACCAGAAGAGAAGTAAGATTTATTTTAGGAGATTTTTGTTACTCAGTGATAGTCTATAAAAAAAAATGATTTTGTCTTATCCCATGTAACAGGCATCCTCATACTTCTGATATCCTTTGAGTGGTGCCTACTTTTATGTGCTATTTTGATAGTTGAACCTGTCCTGATAAATAAATTGTCACTTGGTATCGAGGTGTTTTCCTCAAAATCATTTTCTCAAGCCATTTAAAAGAGCCACATTTTAAAGTTGTTCATAATTATGTACACCTTAACTAGATTCATGAATAAAGTAATTTTTTTAAAAAAAACTGTGGTGTTGTGTAGGTAGGGGAGTATAACAAGATAATTTGGCTTTATCAACTGAGTTGCTAATGTAAATTGGCCACTGTGAAGAGTTTTAAAGCTGATGTTTTGAGCATTAGCCCTTAGTTTTTCTCCTCCAAAAAAATAAACTCTAAACCATAAATAGTAAAGATTAACCTGTAGTTGTTTAATTCTGTAAATATTATGAACTTAACTAGAATTATGTCTCCAGGGAGGATGATATGCTGGATATGGCTCCATTTCTTCAGGAAAACTCAAGACTTGGTAAGCAGTACAATGTAAAAGTACTATGCAGTGTCATTGAAAAGGAGTTACTAGGTATTTGAAGTTCTGCACATAACATATGATAGAGCCTGTTGTTTACAGTTTTAGTACCTCATGATTGGCTACTGTCAGTAAGTTGGTTTTTTTTTGTCATACAGAATTAGAATTTTGTACTCTACAGTGTGGATGTGTGTTTAATGCCATATATTTTGCATACTTCTTTGATAATATTTCAGAGCTGAAAAAAGGGGTTTCCAACAATTTGATTCATGAAAAAATAAATCCATAGTGCTGATAAAAATATATCAATCAATTTTTGCCTAGCTACCTTGGACAACAAATCAAATGTCTAAGCAAAATTAGCTCAACCCATCTGGAAGATATGGAAGCCATTTCAATAAGTTCACTATCAATTAGATCCGGCATAAAATTTAACCAAGGTGCACATCATTCTTTTTGGCGTAAAAGTTCTTTCAAGTTTGCCATCAATCGTTTCTGCAATAAATTGTGACCCAAGCCCATGTTATTATTTTTTGCAAAAAAGTGTTATCAAATCTGATGAGGTCTTTGAGTATGATATACTCTACTTTTCTTTTTTGTTTTTACTGTGATACTGTCAGTTGATGTAGTTGTGTTGCTGAACCCCTAATGTAAAGAGCTGTCTCCTTTGCTCTGCTGATGGAACTGACAAGGAAATTTGTAACAAATAAGAAAACCTTTTACTATTACAGTTAGATTAGACTAATCATACTATATATAACAACCTTGCATATTCTTGTTGATGATACAATTCATTGATGTTGACAAACTTTTTTGTGGAAGTTACATATCAAATTGTGGAGGTGCGGTGGCCTCATGGTTAGTGCGCTCAACTCTGGATCGGGTGGTCCGGGTTCGAGCCCTGGCCGGGGTCATTGTGTTGTGTTCTTAGGCAAGACACTTTACTCTCACAGAGCTTCTCTTCACCCAGGTGTACAAATGGGTACCAGCAAATGTGCTGGGGGTAACCCTGCGATGGACTAGCATCCCATCCAGGGGGGAGTAGCAAAACTCCTAGCCGCTTCATGCTAAGAAAACCAGAGTTAAGCACTGGCCCCATGGCCCACTTGGGCTCATATAAAGGCTTTACTTTACTTACATATCAAATTAACCTCTACTTAAGTGAATGGGATTTTGTTGATGTGTTTCCTCAGCGAGGAAGGTCAGCCTTAGTCTTTTTGTGAAATCAATGTATTCCTTTGTACTACCAGGTTGTCAGATCATACTAAACAAAGATTTAGAGGGACTTGAAGTAACTCTACCAAAAGCAACCAGGAATTTCTATGTAGATGGGCATGTTCCACAGCCCCACTAACTATGAATTACTTTTAATTAGGGTAAGGACGTGTATTGTATAAGATAGCTTAAGTATCTTGCCAAAAGTGAATGTACTGTTTAAACATTTTGAGTGAAAGGAAATAAATATTTCGTCAATAATGGAAATCTCTATCATTTTATGAGTGGCTTCAATCAGTTGTAAAATAGTTTATTACCAGTTTTCTCAATAGATTCCCCCACCCCTTTGATAAACTCTTGCCTGCAGGGAAATATGAAACCCTTCTTTTAAAATTGTTTTCAATGCCTGTTACAAATTGTGATGAACAGTCTTCTAGCATTGGTTATGCATCTGGCTTAGTTATTTGATGAAAAGGTCTGTACCTTCTTCCTTATAGTGAGCCGTCCTTTTTTTATCAACAAATAATGCTGAGATGCAGTTCTGCAATTTTACACTTTTGTTCAATAGGTCAACATATGATCAAATCTATAAAATTTCCTGATTTGCAGTAGAAAATGTATAAGTAGATCATTGCATTAAACCTTTATCATTGGCAACCAAAGAAAGTGTAGTGATCGGAAATAATACAAGAACATGTGCAAAAACATAAGAAGATGTGAGTTTAAATCAATGATGTGTTCAGGATTTAAGTTACTGTACAAAACCTGTGAGACGGTGTTTCTACTGAACTGCCACTGTTTATCTTGAATCTAAAGGAACATTTAGTTCAAAATTTTGTTGCAACTGAGGCCTGGCATGAATTTTACACAAAAGGGTGGAATAAGGAAATGCAACTGGGAATGAAGGGACTTTCAAATCAGCTGAGGTAACACACTTGATAATGCAAGAGGTAATGCACAAATACATGCAAGAATTGATACACAGTGATACATACAAGGAAGCCCACAAAGGTCGAGGGTCATCTTGTCTTGCTGTACCCCTCAGGGAGGTTAAGCCGAGGTGACAATTCTCAGTCCAGACTAAACAAAAGTAATTGCAAAGGGATACAAAAAGAAATGATGTATGGGAGCACGGTAATTGACCCCCTGAGTTTTCTTACCTAGTAGTGCCCTTGAATCAAACTAATTATTATGAGAGCAGGCTACAGTTTTCTGAGAGGGTCAATTATCCTTTTTGCTTTGGTAAAATATAGAAAACCTGCATTTAGGGAAGCTTCCCAGAGATTTTGGCCGCGCGAGATCTGGGTGCGAACACAGAGCGCGAGCTTTAAAAGCGTCAACATGCTAAACAAACATGGCGGATGGGTACGATCACACGAATGTTATCTGAAAAGTGTGTTAAAAACAATTTAACATAATGCAGGTTTTATGTTTTCCAGTGACGGCACCCGTAATATTTATGGGCCTTCTACGCCTGAAAAAGAGGTCAACCGGAAAGAAAACACTTTAGGAAAGGTCGCCTAAAGGCGACAGATTTGAAAGTCTACGCATGCTCAAATACCGATCTTGGCGAAGTTCTATTCCATTACGTAATGTGTTGACAATGGAAAATAGGGATCTTTCGAGTGAAATTAATCACGTTTCCTTCGGTGGGATTTCCTAAGATTTGCTGGACCGTTAAACATATATTTGTGCCCTTCCTAATACCTGTTGAAAAAAAAAATGGTCATAAGACCAAATTTGAGATAGAGGAAGAACACACAAAATTGCAAATAGCGAGGAAACTGCCCTTGTTTTTGTAACCCATATTTTTTCGGCTTTTAAATGATCGGCGGATTGTAAAAATTTTTGAATGATCACAAATTGTGAAAATTGAGAGATTTCACCGAAGCAAATCGAAGAAAATCAAAGGCAAAGCCAAATCAAATCTGGGCCCGCTGTGATTGGCTACGCTGTTGCGGTATCCCTGCCATTTTTTTTTTTTTTTTGGGTGGTTTTTTGTCATTTTTTTCTTTTTTTTTCTTTTTAATCTATTAGATTTTATTGTTGTTATATGGCGAAGTTAATAAATAAAAATTATTGCTGGCGAGCGCTTCCCTTCGTGGATTCTTGGCTTAATAACAAAAATCATTCTGATAATATTTATTGCAGAAAACAATAGTTGGAACCTTGTTCGTTGCCTTTTGATGGCATTTAGTGACCTTGAAGGCCAAAAACATAAAAATTTTCTAGAAAAACATCACGCTGGCGCGCGCGCCAACATTAAGAAAAATCCCTATAGAGCCTCCTTCAAGCCACATTTTTTTTTGTTGGACAAGCTCAGTAGCTGCACAGTTAAATAAGGAACGTTTTCCAACATTTGTCAAACCTTTAAACTTTAAATTCGGTATTATATCTTAGGGACCAATACCTGCTTAGAGTTTAAGGTTAGTATTTGCACATAACCACCATTGAAGGGGGAGAATTTATAAAAGACCCCCTCCCCGCTGACTCAGGTGAGACAATGACCAGGTTAATTGTGTTCGTTCCAAGTCCCTAAAGCTCCTCGGACGCATCGGTCGACCTTGCTGGAGCTCCTCTCAGCTATCCAGGTCACCCGAAATCTTTTCCAGTGCAATAGTTGGGAAATGACTTCAAGAAACAAAAAGGTGGCTGAATTTATAATTTATAAGGTTGCTTTCTTTCCTGTAGTTGCGACACATAAGTAAACTCATGTTAAGCTAAAGAAACAAACGGGGTATTAGTTGTAGGGTTTAGGATGCTGTGTTATCTTTTTAAGTAGGTAATTTAGTGGTAACAACTTGGATGAAAACGTAAATTAGCCACCGTAAAGAGTAAAAAAGCTGACGTTTCGAGCGTTAGCCCTTCGTCAGAGCGATGTATATACAGATCTATCGCTCTGACGAAGGGCTAACGCTCGAAACGTCAGCTTTTTTACTCTTTACGGTGGCTAATTAACGTTTTCAACCCAGTTGTTAACACTAAATTACCTGCTATACTCTCCCACCGACGCAGCACCACGCTTTCTTTAAAAACTTACCCCTTTATCTTTTTAGGTAAGTCACTTCGCCATCACCGAACTTTATCATCCTACCCGGCCCCTCCAAGAGAGTAATACTGAATACTATGTTGCTACGATCTGACCTGCGATACACTTTACTCCTAAGGGTGTGAAATTAAATTATACCGTACATATATTATTATGTAATTTTTTCAAGAATCGAAAACATGGTGGACCAGCGATATTTCTGTGTCAGCGATATTGCGCATTTTCGTGTTGTACACTTTTTTTAATGTATGTGAAACATTGTAATCAAAATTATTAACTAAAGTTGAGTTATCACACCTCTGATTTAGGCAAGTGAACATTAGGCAGTATAGAGACTTATTGGAAAACTTTATTTCATTTTTTAGAGCTAGAGGGTGGGAGAACACTATAGGTAGCTTTAGGACATTCTGAAATAGCACTGTGGTACTTTTTGGTGACCAAGGGAAGCGTGGGCTGTTAAGCTGTTTCATTACCCACATGCAATTTACTTTATTAATAATATGTTAACAACTTTCCTTTAAAGGAATTTAAATGCAAGGTTCTTATCATTGGAAGTGGTGTTATTGGTCTGACCACTGCTTATTTACTACTGGAAAGAGGGTCAGTAGTGTTTCTTTGTTTGGCAATATTTTAATATATCCAATATTTTTCCTTCTCTTGTATTTTAGGTTTTCAGCTAAGTAAATTATCCAGGGTAACTAGTGACCTGTGGTATACAGTATATGCCATTTACATCTTTCTTACCCTACATTCTATTTGCCTTTGCCTTAAAATGTAATTGTGCTTACATATTTGACATTTTACTAAAGATTTGTTGCCTCCATGTTTATTGGCAGCAGACATTCTCTATGTCATTTTAATGAAGATTAATTACTTGAGAGCAAACCAGAGAGTATATTTACCACAATAATAATGAAATCATTATTAACTTTGAATTAACAGGCATCGTGTGGTTATTATATCAAAGGATTTTCCTTCTATTCGACGCTTACCTAAGATTGCTTCAGAAGCCTCTGGAGCACTCTGTGTTCCTCCTATGGCTATGGTTCAAAGGGCTGCAGATGTACCACATGGTAAATCAGAATCTGAGCAAAGAATCTTGAATGAAACTTTGAAGGTTTGAACTTGACAATGATTGCTTTATTTAACTGCAATGATTACATGAAAGTCAAAGAAAGTGTCAAAATTCTTACTGAGGATTTAAAGATTTACCTCCATTAATTCCCAACATGTGGGATAAATTCAGATTCATATGATTATTTACTGTTTGACATTTACTGATTTTATGAAATGTAAAATGTATTGTCTGATTCAAAGGAATGGTCAGTATATGGGGGAGAAAGATACACCTCACTTTGCAATGATTCAAGAAATACAGGAGTGTACTTAAGAGAGTTGGTATTTCTTTTGGGAGAAAAAGTAAGTAAATCTATTAAACTAAAATATTTGTAAATGTCCTATTTATTTTTTGCTCATCTAACTGGGAACACTATCTTCTTTATTGCACTTTGAAGAATTTAATTTGTCTGCTGAATGATGTGGAATTAAAAAATACTACTTGATCATAATTGAACTAATTACCCCTAATCTTGAGGAAGACATTACAAGACATCTATTAAACTACTATTCCCCCTAGCCAAAGTGCATGTCAAAAACTAGGTAATGAGCTTATTGCAAGGTAAGTACTACTGCTAATAGCTGAGCCTCTGGTGTTAGAGTTGCCATGTTATCAGGTAACATTAACCATCCTGATATTTTACCGCTTTAAGGTCAAAGAAATGGCTTTCTTAAAGGAGGTGTTACCCCAGACACTGAATTATCCCGACCATCCTTAATTACAATTATGGAAATATTCAATAATTGTTGATTATGAGATCTGAATTTAATTTCTGTCAATTCAAAAATTGTTTGCAGATGTTATCAATGGAGATTTTACCTGTAATATTGATTATCTGGAACACACTTTTCCCATAACAACTACTGCTTTCTGCTCAAAAATCCTACCTTGTCTTGTTTGTATTGTATTGGGACTGAAGAGAAAAGTATTCTACTTTTGGAATGGGGTCAATCAATTTATGCTTATCTACTTTTTTCTTGGAAATAGGAGTTTTGTTGAAATAGAATGACAGAACTGGCCTACTGAAATGGTATCTGACACCTCAGCAAATGTTAGTCCCTTAATTTAAATAGATTATTGATGGTTATCAACAATTGTTAAAAAAATTGATTTTGATGATGTAAATGATCATCATCTGATTGTTTTAAATGTCGGTAATGGTATCAGAAAGTATCAAATAATATTGAAGTTTTTTCCTAGATTGATCCTGTAATATTGGAGGAGTACAAGCAAATGAAAAGATTTAGAAATTCTATGTCATTGATTAAGGAGAAAGGTTTGTGAGAGACACCTTAAACAGGTTTGACATTTTGATCAACCACATAATCATCTACAAATTGTGTTCTTCAGAAGTCCCCTGTCATATGTTCTTCTGTTAGATATAGTGCTAGTAATAGTAGTTAATTTAATTTAAATTGGTATTACTGAGCCTGTGGAACCCTCAACAATTATCACTACCAAAGTCATGTTTGCATACAATGTAAGTTTCTCCTTTTGCTGCAGGTCATTTAATTTTGACTAAGTTCAGAAAACCTCTTTTTCAGTTTAATAAGGAAAATACTCTGTACTTGACAAGGTTTTCTATTCTTAAGCCGAGAGATTAACTGCAAACTCCTAATTTGTATGAAATCTCTCTGTTTAGGCTTGACAGATGGAAATGGTCTGATAAAAGATGCTGTTTCTTTTCTTGCACCAATCATCGATCCACCAAAATTTGGGACATGGCTTCTTGAACAGGTACAAGCTGCTTCCTGTTTTATTTGTCAGTTTTCCATGTAGTTTTTGTGAAATTGAGAGGGTTATTTTATGCTGACCAAGTCTAACAAAGTAATACTTTTTTTTGGAAATTAGTCATGAGATTGTAGAGTAAGGTTAGTTTGCTGTGATGATGACCTTTAATTAGAATGTAAAAACCATCCCAATGTACTAGTTCATATTTGTAAAACTGTTACAATACAATAGCTCCCTTTCCCCTGTTGAGTGGTTAAAATATCTTCTCATACTGTGGCTGTGCATAATAACAAATGATCATAACCAAAGATGGCTAATGGAGAGCCTTTGCAGAACTCATGGCAAGAGAGAGTCAACCATGTGTATTGAAAAAATAAATGAATAAAGCAAAGAAAGAAGGTCACTTTCAAATACATGATCACTTTTTAACAGTAAAATTTAAATTCATTATCCCTTGTGAAAAAAATTATCTTTATCAGTGATGGTCTGTTTTACCTAAAAACAAAAACCAACATAGTGATTCTCTTGACCAAATTCTTGTGTTTTTTTTTTCAGTGCAAAAGGAAAGGGGCACACTTTATACAAGGTGCCATTAGAGGACCACTGACAGAGCAGGGGGATGCTCTGCGAATGACATATGGTGTTCAGTTTATTGTGAACTGTTCAGGCTTAGGCTCAATAGAGTTAGCTGGAGATCAAGGAATGTTCCCAGCAAAGGGTAATGGGTTTTCTTCTCCTTAGAAAGTTAATTTATTTCAATTGCTATAGTCCTTCTGGCCATTGAAAAGTGGATCTATGATGGATCATATTGTTGATGGTAGAAATGAGATTTAGATAATGGAAAGGAGTCCAAATGTTCTAACAAAAATAAACAACAAATGCCTCTCATACAACTGAGACCTCATCACTGGAAGTCCAAGCTTGAAAAAAAAAAAGCATGAAGCCAACTTGAAATTTATTGAGACTAACTGTGTGTAACATATCTTTACAGGGATTCTCTTGAAGGTAAAAAACGATGGCAGTTTATTTCCTAAGATTGAATTTTGTGTGGAAGGGAAGCATACAAGCTTTGGACATGATGAATCAGGACAAGAAATTTTTGGTCATCCATATCTTTTCCCCAGAGGTAGAGCAATTAATTGCCATGATATATTATAATGATGAAAGCTATCATTTTTATTGTTATCATTATTTTAAAATTTAAAAATTTAATATTAGAATGCAATTCCTTTAACCATGGTCATGCACCTACACAAAACTGACCCAACTGTTGCAGGAAATGAGCAATAAACCCAATGGCATAATTTTGATTAGGTGAACACTGTCACAGATGTGGAATTATAAACAGTGGTTAAAAGTACAGTATCTGCTGTGCATTTTACTCTGTGGATGATGAGAGCAGAGTAACACAAATCAGAGAGCTACCAACATTCTTGTTCCCATGGCCATTTTTTTCTTTGGATCACATGCCTTGATGTAAGGAGAAAGGAGGGACTTTAGTAGACTGAAGTATCTCTTTTGGGAAAGGTGATAGATAATTAGATACTAGATAGATATGGAGCAGGCACCTTGTGTCTTTATTTTTCTTTTTAGGAATTGGTTAGTGTCTTTGCGGACTCATTTGTGTGTTATGGAAACTTCTTTCTTTTTGGAAATTATAGAATTATTTGTGCTTTGGGAAATGGATTTGTAATTAAGTTAATTGTTTTAGCTTTGAGGCCTAATTTAGGCCCACAGTCATGCAGCTTAATTCTATGCACAGAAAAGTAAACAGTCTGTTTTCATTTCTCTCAACTGTATGGCAGCTATAACTATGAACTTAGATATTTTACTCGTTGATTTGTGCTTTTTTATGTAGCATTAAGTTTTACTAATACTGCCAGATCCATTGCAACTAATACAATTGTAATACATGTGTTTCTAAACAGTACTCCAATTATTCAGGTTTATGATAGTTTTAAGTTGCATTTTTATCGTTTGGCTTATAGCTAATTCATTTGTAGAAATCAAATGTCCAGCTTGTTTCAATTTATGCTCTTGCAGGTGAAGATACACTGATGTTTGGCTCATTCTATCAGCTAAATCGGTGGGACTGCAGTGCATCTATTACAGCTCCATATGTCCAATCCATGATCAGACAATGCAAGGATCTCTGTCCGTGCCTGAATTCTCTTAGGGATAGTGATTTCCAGGTTACTGTTGGCATTCGACCTGGAAGAAAACCTGGACTTAGAATAGAACAAGATCCTTTAGAACCCCGGATATTTCATAATTATGGTCATTATAGGTGGGGAATGACATTAAACTGGGGAAGTGCTAGAGATCTTGTTTATCTTATTGAGAATGAGGCAAATAGGATCCAAAATGCCAAAGGGAAAGGAAAATCAGCTGTTGCCAAACTGTAGCTGGAGAGGTTAAGCCTGGAGCAATCTTAACTTACATGTAACTCTGGAAAAAAATTGTGTACAGTGACACTGTTATCAAGCAAAACCCACATTATAAGCACATGAAATCAATTGAATTGAGCTGTTTTAAGTGAGACCCAAGACCAGCATTTAGAGGACAGCTCGAGATGTTTTACTGTAGAGTTTTAATGTTTCAGGGAAACTAAAGAACTTTATAATCCCATAACTGATAAAAGAAATTTTCATAGCCCTGTAGTATTATTGTAGATTAGTGTTCACTATATATTATTATATTATTATATGTATTTATATAATATACATTACATTGTCTGTGTGAAAATTATTTTTATGGGAACATTTCCTTTTAAATAGCTAATAAGAGTGGACCAGTGAGAACTGTTTGAATTTTGAATTTATAAGCCCTTTGCACTAGAAATTAAAAAATTGGCAAAAGTAACTAGGTTCACAGATACGTGTTCTTGCACTCCTCTTGTAGCCAACATTTCCCAATTGCTGATCAAACATTCCATATTTTGCTTCTAGAAAGCTAAAATCATTAGAGTAAGTTCTCAATCAAGAGTGTAAAGTAGGAAAATAAACACACTCCACCCCCATGTTACTGCTGATTCAAAGATAGTAAATGACATCGGATCTATATACTATTTGTTTTACGGTGGTGACGGTATTATCATTGTTACTATTTTTACCTTAAAAATACAATTTATCGGCAATAGCATGTTTTCTCTATCCACAAACCATTCTCATGGGGTAAAACAAGAATGACCATGAAAATGCCACAGCCATAAGCCCAAACAAATTCCTTTTCTCATTATTGCCACAGAGATTACACTGCGATTCAACTTTTTTAAAATTTTGAAGAAATTGAGTTGTTGTCAATCAATTCATATTAAACGATTTCCATCTCTGCTGGTGGGCATAATCTTTCATCTACTTCTTAACTTACTTTAACTGGTCTCTTTCAGTTTATATAATGAAATAAAATAAATCACGTAAATGTCAAACTATGTAGCCTGGGAGATACCCATTCGTAGTTTATAATAAGGGATCACAGACTAATACAGAAAACAAAACTTAGATGGCAAAGATATCTTTAATCAAATATGAATAATACTAAATGCAGTCTAAGATTTTTGAAAAATAATACTAAACATATCTGATACCTATCAACAGCTGAAATAGTCTATTATATAACAACCTAATTTATAATAGAATGACATTCTTTAATTAAAGTGCTTGAAATTTTACAAAATATCAAAGGATGTTGCCTTCAATGGGGGAAGACCAACTGAGAAAGGTAAACTTTTCACTGTGGTAGTTACTTCACGGAAACAGTAGTTCAACAGTTTCTGTAATATTTTTCATACTTTTACTCAAAGCATTATTTAGAACCTTAGTTTTAAGATTTCAAAGGTTACTGATCATTGTCAGAGTATTCATGTGGAAGATAAAAAGGTAACTTTAGTATTTTTAGGTTTCACTATTTAGGTTTCCTTGTTTTCAAGGCCTAAATTAGTCACAGTTTAGGCTTTGCTTCTAATGAATAACCAAACTTGAGTAAGCGTAATGAGACACTGCAAGTGTGTGATGTCGCGTGACATCGCAAAATTGGCTTGACCACATCTCCTTGAACATCTCTGGGTAGGCTAGGCAGGTTTTTTTGTTTTGTTTTGTTTTGTTTTTCAAGGATTAATTTTTTTTTATTTCAATGTCGTGTTTTTAGGGTTTCCGAGCAGGACTTGTTTACCTCTGGTTGAGTCAGCCAGGCGTCAATAACCCAGTTACCTCCAAACAAAGATTTTGAGCCATTGATCTCTACCATCGATGGTGTTGAGAGGAAAAATTGAAAAAAGTTTTCTTTAGTTTATCAGAGGGGTATAAAGAAGGTTATAAAGATCTGGTTTTATACAGTCAGCCCTGAGAAGCAATGGGTCTTTTGTTTAACAAAGTTCAGTTGACTTTAAGCGGCAACCACGCCTTTGGTATCTAAGACTTCTTAATCACCTCTAAACAATGTTTTATCTGCAGGAAAATTGACCACAATTTTGTTGCGTAACAAAGGGAAATGCAATGTATCATGTCACCGTCGATACTGAATAATGAATTTGACGCATGTTTGTGGCTTAAACTGAGAATTATACACAATGCAATCATTGCATTGTGTAGTATTGCAACAAATTTTCAACTAAACTGATTAACAAATCACATTCGGTAAAATTATTGCGTTTAAAACACTTTTTGTCAAAAAACAACCAAATTTTGTACACAAAGTTATACAATGAATGCAAACTGAGTTCTAATAGAAAATGTCAAACGAGCTTGAAAATAAATCTATCAACTGTATCTTTTTATTTTCCTTTTTTTTTTTTCGTTTTTGTAACACGCAGATGTTCCATTTGAGTAAACCGTTTGCAACTGAATGTTTAGAAATTGCTTTGAACTATATGCATCGTGTATTCGACAGAAAACTATTGAAAGATTTAAGACGATTGTTATCATACACAAGTAGGAGATCTTGTTAACCTTACGGCGAGTTCTTGAGAGTCCTCAACGTTAAAAATTAATGACTTTTGTCCCTGAATAGATGTGATCTCGAAAACAGAGGCTCAAGAAATAATAGTTCTTTTATGTCATTCCCAGGTGATTACTCGAAATAACATCCATTTCTGCCAATTTCGATTTTTTTGTTTAAAAAGTGTAGATTTTCTACTACTTAATTTTTTTGAATTTATACAAGCGAGTCTATTTTTATTACAAATTAATCAAATAAATGGAGTAAATTTTATGTAGTTTATTATTTGTTTGATTCAATCGAAGTAATTGCTTGTGGTAAGTGATGATTCAAAGTTCAATATTCCGGAGTCGTTGTTGAACATATTCTTCAATCAAATTGAATCAAATTCCTTTTAATCGTAACCGTCCTCAATCCCTTCGTTTCTTTCTGATTTAAGCTATTATTATGGCAAACGATTTTGGACTTTTCCGGATTTCCTTTGAGTCAATAACGTTTTTCTTTCTATATAGTGAAGATACATCCATGTGCATCTGAAAAATCGACGAACGTATATTAGACGAAGAATATTGTTTAGTAAATGATTTGAAGAACTTGTTCTCTTGGTTACCAAAATATTACGTTCTCTTTAGTCTTCAGTTAGCTCCGACATCAAGAGTTTTATTTCCGCGCTGAGGAACTCTTAGTTGCTTGTAATTCAATGTTGTCCCGGCTTAGTTCGCCTCTCGTGTTTGAAAGCGGATTTCATTTTTTCTTAATCCGCTTGTGCAGTCAGAGCATTTTCGTGTTATACTCGATAGCGGCCGGTGAGATATTTTCATTCGTTTCATTCGTTTCCTTCTCATTTCTATGTTACACCCAGTCGCCTTTCTCGTCTTTAAGCCTCTCTCGTATCATATACAATTGTAACAGTTCGTCCCATCTGCTTGACCTGTCTTCGGAAACACTTCCCACCGTCAAATCATTTAGTTGTTTTGTAATAAACTGTAGTCCTCTCATTACCATCACTGTGCTGATTTGTCCTGCACTTCGAGTCAGGGAGCTGGCAGTCCTTCGCGGTTTCCTCTGTCGCGATTTTCTGTTTGAGGAACAGTAATCTGCGAAGGGGGGGATAACCGCGTTGTTCGTTGGTACAAAATAGAAAACCTCCACTAGATCTTGTGACCAGTGAACGCGCTTATGTTTCTTGAAAGGTGGTGTTGGGTCTTCATCTGCTTCTATGAGAACGAATTCGTCGCCTGAAAGAATATTAAACTCATCTGGTTCTTGAAGTAAAGCCATCTGCAGATTCAAATGTATTCTTCGTTGTTTTTCTTTGCGAGTATATTTGGATTCCAATTGTTACTACTCGCGGCGATTTAGCGCCGGACAACAATGAAGTAAAGACACTCGTGCGTTTTGCCTAGTTCTGGAGATTTCTAAATCTCGATAACAACGGCTCATTCAACTGTAGTGGTTGGTTTTATCTGCTAAAATTTCCTCATAAATTATTGATTCAGCCTAACAGAGAATACTTTCTGAATTAAGTAAGATCGCAATGCTCTGTTACCATAACAATCCAAGAATAATTACATTCCTGTACGCTGCCCACACATGTTCTTGTTGTGCTACGTGCGTGAGGCGCGATCCTTAGGCCTCTAATAGTTTGTTCAGTTTATGTATCTACTTCTAAAACGTGAAAAGGTTTGTTTTCTTTTCAACTGAAACGTACTCTGTGAAATAGCGGTGAACCGTTGGTGGGGGAACGAGAATTCTTAAGTTTGGTGTTAATTGCTCATGTGGCCTTTGCACCATAACCACGTCATAGATTGCGAGCTGGATAACGATTCAAATGAGCCTTTTAGTTAAATTGGATTCCACTGAGTCAATTTGCCTCAAAGGACATTTAAACGTATGCATTTGTTTAAAATATGTACGTACAATACATAACAAAACTAATCTCCCCAGAAGAAAATTTCTAAGGATATTTGTGCAGCCTCCCATCTCTTTAGTTGATTTGTAGCTCACCATTTAAAATTTAGTGCGACTTTAATTATTTATCAGCGATTTAAATATAGCTCTTTCCTTGTTAATAACGTAGGCTAAGAATGAGATTCTGACAAAACAAAGAAATCCACACATCTATTTTGTCTAAATTTCAGTTGTTTACTAGGACAACTATTTGCTACAATTAAATCTCTATAATTAACGCTTTACAGTCGAAGAGACAAAGGGGGATGTTTCGAAATATACAAAACAGGAGATCGGTTAGACCGCGGCGCCTTGTTCTCCTTGAACTGGATGCATATCACAACAGTACTTTGAAAGAGAAGTCTCCAGCGAAATTATCCAAGTCTCTTCTATTAGAGTTGAAAATGATCTCAGTCTCAATTAACGGTAAAAGCCAAGGTTCTAAACAATACCAGAGCTCCATCTTAGTAACCCTAATACTAATATCATTTTTCGTCTTCGTTTAAGGGCTAGATGGGTAATTGTTTTGTTTTGATGTTTTTTTTTAACTTAAACTTGACCCGATACAATTCAAAATAAAAAACGTTTCTTACCTTTTGGAATCCTTTAACAAGTGATGGCAAATATTTCAGGGTCTGATATCAATTTGTTTGGAGCCTTTCAAGTTGTTTTGAGAATCCTAGGCTTCGAAAAAAGTTTGTGTAATTGATGTTGCTTTGTATCAGTTCATGATGATAGGAGAAAAAAAATTTCTTGTTGTTAAATATTGTCATTTCTTTTCAATTGTTTCGCACGCCAACTGTTGTCTCAGAACCCAGATAATATCGATTAACAAACGGCTATATAGAGACATTATTTGTTCTAGCGTGTTTTTTTATTTTTATTTTTATCTTTCTATCTACGCCACTTAATCATTCAATGTGCTAAAAGAAGACAAAACAGCGCGATTCGGTTAAGGTAATGATATAATCACACCGATTAGTTTCAATTTCAACTATGTTTATCGCGTATTTAAAGGAGCGAAAGGTAGTGAATAGACTCCTGGAATGTCAGGTTAAATTGAGCACTCGTATTCTATTTCAAAAACTGCAAATTGCACTCGCCCTATGTGCAATTTTGTTGCTCTTTGAAGTTACATGCCTCTTCATTCCGATTTTCATTCGAAAGGATGTGATTACCCATACTAACCCTGAACTTATTTTGAGTAGTTATTCTTTTAAGACTAAAATAAGAACCTTTAATAATCGCAGAATCACGCAATAATTATGCCTATAGTTGTCTGACTTGATACAAAACGATTTTGGAAGAACGAATGAATCTTGTTCCTTTTTACTGAATTAGTGATAAACTGTAGAGGCCTCTAAGGAAAATAAATACATAATAAGTTAATATACGCACTCCAACACTGTATTGTGCGACTTTGAATTCCAGTTTTTATGTGGAGTACAGACATTCATGCAATGGTGAGCTTTTTCCTGTCGGTGACGGATAGTAAGTTATTATATGTGAAGTACAGAAATAACCACTGTGCACTAACCAGAGTAGTTGTGCTTATTTTGTGTACACTGTACCTGCGTCATCAGGTTTAAGAGTTTTCTGTTATCTATCCGCTAGACCCAGTCCTCTCCAGAGAATAAATTTTGACCATTCGAACCGTTTCGGCGCATAACTTTATTTTTAGTTAAACAAATACTTCTGGTCTGTTCCAATGGAGAATTTTTGTAGTCGGGCATGTAATTGAGACGTGGCTAGTATTTTGTATTCTAGTTACCGTTTGTAAATCACTGGCTGATTGATTTTGTTTTTCCAGAGAAGAAGCGGTTTCACTTGTTCTCAAAAATAAAGTTTTGTGTTGTTTGATGTTCACCAATTCTGGCTCAAAATTGTGAATTTCCTCTAGTCTTTTGTACCAGTGTACTTTTTTTCTTCGTCTTTGTGGTTTTTGTTGACTTTGTCCCGTGAGCTTAGTTTATATCGAATGTTTCATCATCATAAGATTGCCTGCTTCTTTTCATAAAGACAACGTTACCCATTTCTTTGTTGTGATAACCGACCGTGTCGCTCTTTTCTAAACTTAGCACGATGACAATCTTTTATTGACTGTAGGCATTAGTTTATCACGTACGCTTGAAACTTTCTAGAACTCACTGACTAAACGTGAGATTAAGATGCATGGGTGAAGAGTAAAACATATTGCAACGCATGCTATTTCGCACAACTATAGAGAACAGCCTTTAAAATAGTCTTTTCTGCTGAATTTCAAATAAAAAACAATGTGAGGTTGCTTAACTGATATAAAAAATGAAACCTATTTGACTGGCCGAGATAGTGGTGATGTGATCAACATGTGACAAGATGATAAGTAGTCTTCTCGCTTTTTCCTTCTTAACGGCTAATTTGTTGGTGTTGATAATGATATGCCAAACGAAAGAAAGGCACTCACACTTAATAATCTTTAAGGCTTTAAACATGATTCCTGAAATTTTCTGAGTTTTCCATAAATTTAAAATAACACTAGACACTTGGGCGGGGATCTTTTCGGCTCAGTTAATTATAAGAAATGTGAAGAGGTTTTTCAGCAAATGATATAAATGCGTTTGTGATGAGCAAATCCCTCTGCTGGTATTTTTTTCATGTTTCTCGGGTCCAAAGCCGGAATATAATCAGAACCAGGCCAGTTACTTACCATGATACACAAGTATCAACGGAGCTCAGGAAAGGTAAAAGTTAGGCAAATCTTATTGAACAAATTCAATTTTAGAGAGCATCTTTCCCTCTATCGCAATAGTTTGGCACCTTATTGTGTGTAGTCGTATGCCTTTCGTGTTGCCTTAAAAATAAAATCTTATTTACCAACGCAAGTTATGCAATTGTAATAAAGAAATAAAGTTGACTTCTCCCAGCCCTCGAGGGCATCATCCAATTCTCTTTCCAAAGCTCACTTAATGTATGCTTGCACGCATTAAGAGCCACACTGCACAATTTGTCGCCGGAAAAACTGAAACAAGTCGGCTTGTGGTGGCGGAGGTATCATGAGGTTTTACCAATTGAGCCAACTTACACGGCTGTGTTTTTTCTATGAAAAAAAAGTAACATCAATCGCTGCGGATAAATCCTGAACGTCACGGTGTAGCATGGATTTTTTGTGTCTAGAGTTTTGGCCTTAATATGAATCATGCTTATCTGGGGATGGACGGGGAAATCATTGTTTCCTTCAAACTAGTTTGATGAATCAAGAAGCAGTCATGGCCATGCAAATATTATTTTTAAAAGGGGAAATTTTTTCAAAGCACCTGACAAGACTAGAAATGGTAAAAAAACCAGGATGATGTGATAGTGTCAGAGTCATAAAGTGTGTGATTTGATTTTGCTTTTGTTCTGATTATGCCTTAGAATAAACCGCGTTTTAAAATAATTTGCTTTCGGCCTTGATCAGTTCGTGACTGCATTTTAAATACGATAAACCAGCTGGATTTCGATCGTGTTAGTATTCGAAATTCATAATAACCCCAAAATAGCTTGAATACAAGAAGTAGTCGGTGTGTTTCACGAGAGAGTCTTCTCCTTGAAATGAATAATTTACCGTATTTTATTAGTGCTCATTACTGAATGCGGTTTGCGAACCTTGAAGATCTTCTGTCTATGAAGCCGTTATTTTTCTAAAGCTGTTTTCCTGACCAGTTGTTATTTTTCAAAGTATTCTAATTTTTTTTGTTTGTTTGTTTAGCATTCGCTATATTTAGCAAGGAACCTTGCTCAAAGGTTTGTTTTGAGTATTCACTATTTACTTTTTAATGGTTTTAACAATACGCTTGTACTTGCAGACTAAAATCGAATTCGTACATAATTTTAAGAAAAGTAGTTTCCATTTTTGAACATTTCTAAATGACACGAACGTGCCTAGACTGCCACTTGTGTACTACTTTGAGCTTTCTTTGGATAAACATCGGAAGCCTTTAGTATTGTTAGACTTGCTTTGTGAGGAAAACAGTGATTTTAGCGAGTTATATTTAGAGCTTCACTTCAAGTTAGGATTCCAAGTCGTTTTTGGCAGAATGCGCTAGAAATGCTTTCGCGGTTAACATAGGATTTAGCCATATGGACTTTCATTTCAATGGATTTTGAACCTGTTGTCACTTTTCCACTGGTAAAGTTTGGAATGTTTAAAACTCAAAGTATAGTTATTTTATTTTACCTACAAGTAACTATTTTGCAAAGGCAAACAGAAACATCACTCGCGGTTTAGAAAGGCAACATTATTTATATTTCTTCTCATTTTATAATTTCTTTGATAATTTTCGAATTCAATTTCGAATTTGCATAGAATATCCTTTAAAAGCCCCGGTACATGCTCATATTTAAATTGTTTAATTAAAGCGACGTGATACGAATAACTCCTTTTCATTCACATCACTTCGTTGTTGTTTGTTTGAGCGTGTTGCAATGGAACACAACTTAGTATTCTTGGTCCAGTTTGATAATTGACAATTCTTGATAGTTTGACAGTCGGCTTGAATCCTATTTAGCTTGTAAGCGGCTTCTTTCAAACGATTAAAATTTATTATTCTGCATTTGATATTAGTTTTTTCTGTTGAAGTCACTTAACGCAGCAATTTAATTGCCTGCTATTTAAAGCTGCAGAAGTGTTTCCGATTTTGTTGATCTTAAAAGCGACAATCGAAACAGGGTGTTATATAACTCTCGCTTTAACTATATTTTCTGGTTTACATTGTCTAAAATTTGTAAATAGTGTTTATGTGTAAGGCAAACATTGGATTCCTTGGCTTTCAAAATGTTTCCATCCTTTTTTCTGTTCTTTTGATTGATGATAGTTTTGATATTGTTTATCTCATTGCGTCGGCGCAGTTTTTTTAAAGCAGTTCCTCTCAGAAGATCGATAGTATTTTCACCAATTTTACCAACTTTTTTGTCGATAGAATTTTGATCTTGACTCGTCGTAAGCTGTTTGAACGGTATCTGATTTTCGCTAGAGAAAGGGCATTTTCCTTTTTTTAGTCAGCCAACCTGTCGTTACGTGATTCTTGTGTCATTCTAGTCGCTCATTACACGCTCACTGTAAAGTTCAAACAGTTCATCCCAACGCCGATTGATGTCTGTTTCACTGTCTGCAATGTAGCCTTTCCTAAAGTGTATGTCACGGCGGCTGCCTCTGTGTGGAAGAAAGTTTCCATTTGAGCGAAAAGTCCTATCTGCTAGATCGTTGGCCAGCTCCTTAAACTCGCGCAACTTTTCGGTAATGCTTTTTCTGCGAGGTTTAGGAGTAGTGAAATAAAAGATCTCTTCAAGATCAACCGACCAACGCACCTGCTTCGCAGAGTTTATCGGTGAATTTGAGACATAGTCACAACTTACGGATTTTGTGAGGGTCATTTTGCTCATTTTGCTTCAGACCCGAATAGTTAGTTTCGTGTCACTTGCTTCGATGTGTGCTTTTATGATCAGCCGATGGCTTCCTCAGACTGATATACTTCGTAATATTGTTTTTTACCGGTATATTTTTGTGGTAAGCCGCAGGGAATATGAGGTTTATTGCACTTAACAACCTTCTTCATTTGCATTTTACTTCCGAATGTCTTTGTCGCTCTGTCCAGAATGTTCTACAGGAGCTAATATTACCCCCTTCAATAATTAGGGGTTTTTTTAGAACTGCCCATCCTCTGTCCGCAGAATATTAATGATCCCACGGCATTGCGTTGTTCTTAACTTTTGTGCTCCTAGGGCAAGCTAAACAACTTTACCTAAATGTTCGTGTTGAATTTATAATCTCACTTTTGTGATTGAAAAACCAACTTAACCAAGTGACTGAAACTGGTCGTGATCTCACAACAGCTATTGCTTTCCTTTTGTTTCCGGAAAATTTTTTTTTTTGCATTTTCTGCTGTGTTTGTCTAACTTGCGGTGTCTGCAATATTGCTTTCCAGACTATTTTCCCAAAGCGCATATATACAATGTGTTTTGATAGGAGGATGTAAAAGAGAAGGCATCCGTCATGTTTTAAAGTTTTTTATGTATTGAAAAGGAAAAAATAATAGTACGTATTTATATATTTTATATACTTATATTTTTATACGTTTAATGTTAGTATAAAAGAAATTCAGCCTCGGTTGTGATGTTTTCGTTAATAAAGTATTTACTCATCGGTAACATTGTAATTTATGTTTACCGAGCAGGTGTTTTAACCTAACGTGAATCCCTATTGGTTGAATCTGCTTCATTGCATTAAAAAGTCACAAGAGATTTAGTAGCTAAAGTGGGAGGAAAGTTTGTTTATTTGTTCTGTTAATACATTAATTGACTTCTTTACCTCTTCTTTCACTTCATAATTGATTTGTTCCATCCTAAATGAGAATTTATGTGGATTCGATAACCTTTACAAACACGACCTTACTCACACGAGGCTCTAAATATCCAACTTAATACCAATGGCGCAAGTAAATAAGACAAAAAAGGAAACATACTCAAGTTGAAGACTTGTCAATATGCTACATGGAAGAAGTGCTCTTATGAATTTCAAATTATTCCTGAACGTATGTCACGTAGGGACGCATCTGTACGTAAAAGAAGGAAAAACTGACAGAAAGAGGAAACCACTAAAGGAACCATTTGTCAATTAAGAAAGTGATCTATTATGAATTATATAATAAGCTCAGTTGCACACATTCTGATTGGTTCTCACTTATGATCTATTGGAGGACAGACGTATAGACGACGTCATTAAAACTTTTTTCCCGTATATTTTAATTCTTTATTATATAAAACAAAAAGATTCCAAGTTGCCGTGCGTCTGTTCAGTAAAAGATCACAGAGGACGTCAAAATGTGGTAAGAACATCAGAGACACACTCGGCTGCGCCTCGTGTGCCACCTTTTTGTTCTAACCACATTTTGACGTCCGCTGTGATCTATTACTGAACAGACGCACGGCAACTTGGAATCTATTTGTTAACTGTACTCTGTAAAATGTAGGAAAAGTGCAGTAAATACACTGAAGGTGTTGTCGATTCTGGAGGCACGTCAGCAAATTTGAAAAACTTATAAAAGGTGAATCATACAATTGTTATGCATTGAATTATTTTTTGCGTATCCGTGTTTTTTACCAGTTGTCACGGGCCTGGGACGAAGAGAAGATTCTGACTCCTTATGAGGAATTGAACCTCTGACTTAAGGTTTCCGCGCTCTAATACTCTTCGAATTTAGCATTAGGAATTAATTAAATCTTCACAGTCATGTGATTTTTGTGCATGATTCTTCTCGGGGCATCTTGTGTTGTTTGAACGACGTTTTGCTTCAGTATAACTGTTTATTAACCTTTTAATTTATAGCAGCTCAATGAAAACCTTTATTTTCTATTTTAAAATTTAGCGAAATAAAATGATCTCAAGTGCATGTTAAGTTAGGGTTATTTTCGCTTGGACTAAATTTGATGGAAGATGATTTGAGTTCGAAGTATTTTTAGAGACACTTATGATAACACCCTACATGCTGAGTTACTCCATAAAGAAACAACATGGCGGAAGTTGCTAATAACAGGGACTGACTAGTTTATGGGAAACCTGACTTTTCTTAACCGTACTGGTCAATTGTGATAATCCGTTGTATTTATAAAGTTTGCGAGAACTGAATATGGAAAATCGGTCGCTGCCTTGAGCTATTTTGCTATCAATTAGTTTTATTTTTAGCTACACAATAAAAAGGAAAAAACTTAAAACAGGCTCTAATGGTAACCTAGTAGTGGTCATGAGTAAATAATATGCGATTTCTATTCTTGACAAAGTGACTCGCAGACACAGTGCATATCCTGCATATCATTATCATATGTTCACTTGATAGCCTAGAGGCTGAGAGGAGTGCATGCCTTCGAAGACGACTGAAAAGTACTCGCCAAAACAGGTTGAAATTTTGAACGGAACTGAATGTGAAAATTGATTAATAATGTTTGTGTAAGCCCTCAGCCAACAGAGTGGAATCCGAGAATTTCAGGCAAGGGCTGAACTTGAGAAGACCAAGTAATGGGCTGTTTTCACGCGATTTCTCCAACTAGACGTCTGCCAAGTGAGATAGAGAAAGTTAAGTTTAGGCCGACAAATTTGAACAAGATATAGGGTTGAAATTGGAACAAAATCATAAAAAAGGAAAGCCCATGCTCAAACCGAATGCTGTTCGCAACAAGTTTAGGCTGATACCGTTAGGGAAGCTCGTGGTTTAAATTTTCTAATCATCTTTGTTTAAGCATTTTCACTGTTAGTGAATTATTATGAAACTCCAGTCGACTAGAAAATTATATAGTTGTCATGTATGACTCAGTGGTCGGAGTTGTTACATAAAACATTATCTGAGCATCAGTTTATCCGGAAACCATTGGCGCTCTTGCGTCCATCTTGAGATGGTTTTGCTACTATTATTAGCCGTGTGTAGTGAGAGCTTATCTCCTATCAGATTAGTTCCGTTACAAGGCGCCGAAATTCATATCAAATGTTGTAATAAAAAATAACGCTGAAGTAAATCGACTCCTCAAATATAAGATATGTTAATAGAATGCGAAGCTTGTACGTGACGAAATTATGTACAGCTGCTGTAATTGCGGTACAACTGCGGAGTTGTTGTGCAATTTTACCAGTATGTCTGAAAGATAAACGAAAGACTATACAACGAAATTTAATTTGTCTCGCTCTGGAACAGTTAATTTTTTTCCTTTCAGTGACTGCATTGCACATATTTCGGATGAGTTATAAAGGAAAAAAAATCCCAGCAGATCGAATTCAATATTCCATGCAATTGACTGAATGAAAGTAAGCTACTGATTACATGCATGCATTTGTCATTTAAGAGGAAAAATACCGATGAAATTTCACTTTGATGTGGATTTTAATATGAATCTGAGTGGTTTACTATTGGCGATAGAGACAAGAAAGTCGAGTTTCGAGCTTGTTCATGAAGGAATATTGTAGACATCCTAGATAATTTGTATTTGCCCTGATTCTTTTTGCGGGTGGAGTGTCAGTTTGATTGAAGAAGAAATAAAAATCGAGTGAGGTTTTATCTTTTGAACTTTAATCACAAAATTATCAGACCCTTCAAAAACCCAATTTCTATTTATGTGTTTTTGCATGAACCGCACATTTCACGTATTAATATTTGATGATTTATTTTAAAAATGTCGCGATGGGATAAAAGTGATTTACGTCAACGTGGCCGCAATTGCGCACTTCATACTGAAGAATTGTTTGAACCTCGCTCGCCTCTTGGTATTAGAAATAATACATTGAATTCAATCCATTGTGTGATACATGGAAGGAGAGCTGATTTTTCTTTACGGCAAAGTTCACCAACTGATTAGTGCTGATGACTTGGATTTGATGGCAAAGATGGAAGAGCTGACGTAGTTCAAAGTTTGTCTCATTTTGTTAATAGAAGAGGATTAATGGTCGCTTTTCTTACGCTAAAGTTCGTAATATTGTACGAATTTTCCGCGAAGATCGAGTAATTTATGACAACTTTTGTCGAAATAAATGAGCTTGGACTAAGTCAACATCTGACTCAGCAAGTTTTCTAAATGTGTACAAAACGACGACCAACAGCTGTCAGTTGATACCGTAGAAATTGGCCTGCCAAAACTTCCAATACCAGTGCCAACCTGAATCACAGCATTGAGATCTTATATAGTCTGTGCTCTTTGTTACTAGTGAGTTTCTCTACTTGTGTACATGTCAAACAATAAATCCCATTGTTTATTATACTCCTCGAAGCTTTGAAAACCAGAATTATGTGCGAAGCAGTCCGTATTTCGTCGTAGTTGTTTTACTCTGGAGTCGCTGATAAGTGTGAAAGCTCGGAGATTTTCCGCTCTTTTTTTCACTTTATTGAATTTCCTCCTGATACTCTCGCTTCTGCTTCTGTGCGGCACAAAATAGCGGACCTCCTCAAGATCATTGGACCATTGAACGCTTTTCTTCCGTGCTGATTTGCTTCTTCTTTGTCTCAGCCTCTCTTGCCTATACTCAGCACCATGGCAAAAGCTTGTAAATTCACAACTCATTGATCTGTATAAAGACATTATTCTGTATGAAATTAAATGTTGACAACCAGTTTGATTACTGCCGTGTGAGTTAATCTTGAAAACGAGGAAACTGCCCGGCCAGCAGGCGAAACTTTCAACGACAGAATTAGAGTTACTGGTGCATGGATGTTGAAACTAAGATATGTATGTGCAGGTTGAATCCTTTTTGTAACAACCGCAGGTCGTGTTACGTGTTTATGAAAAGGGCACACACTAATTAATAATTTATTTGTGTCATGATTGTAGCATATTAATAATCTTGATAAAGGGAAGGAGAGTTGTTTGAATGCGGTAAAAAGCAGCTTATTATTATGTCAAGGATTCTAAGGAAAGACTTCGGCCCCCTCGCTATCAGTGACAGCTTTTGCAGCTGAACACTCAATACTTGTTACTTATCTTGCTATGCACCCTGGGAAGCTTAAAATGTCATTTCCGCCCGCGCAGTTTTCATGACTTCGCCGGAGCGTCGCAAATGATCATTTCCACCTCGATAGTGATAAAAGTAAATCGGCTAAACTTTGTGAATCTCAAATATCAAGTATGTTAGATTTCTTATCTGTCCTCTCTCTCGTAGAGAAAAACTATTATAACAGAACAGTGTTATATTTAAAAAGAAAAAAAAAGGCTTAAAACGTATTGTCAGAAGCACTATATGATAATTTCATTTTAAATTTAAACTGCGCTAAGAGACGTGTCAACAGATGAAACAATAAGGTACTGCGAAACAGAGAGAAAACCCAAGATTTAGTTTGTCCCTTGCAAGCCGAGGCTAAATATTTTTTCAAACATTGTTAGGAAATATTTATAGAAAAAAGGAAAACTTCCCTTTCGTAATGAGAAAATTGTTTTTGGTTTTACCATTTCATCCTTTCGGTTACAGTAATTTTTCTTTGTATGATGTATTCTTCTTGCGTCTACGTGTACAGTTGTAACAACAAAAGAGCACCTGGGGGATTATCAACTCGCGTTTCTCCTGTCATGACGCCAGCAATTTTTCCCTGATTTTGATCTGCTTCTATGAGTTATGAAATAGCGGAAGCAACGGAGTAAATTCGTCCCACTCAAATTTAAGCAGGAGATATAAAGCTCAAGCAGTTATCGTTAATCACCCCGCCAAAATACGACAAGCATAATGGTTGGCCCTCGTGTTTTACGAGCTTCCTCGACATTACCACAAACAAAGTTCGTGAACACTCGGTTATTCTCGGCCTTGGAAAGATCCAAATGATTTGCGGGGGTAGTTCTTTCAATTAACACAAGTTTCTTCATCGGGAAAAGAAAAAAAAGAGGAAGTTTTCAGAATTTGAAAGCCACGCTATCTGTTCTGTTGGCACCTACGCGAAGACCACAAAGTCCGCCAGTTGCAATGTGTTTGATCCTTATTTGTCTCTAAGAGTTGTCACAAACTTTTGGGATATTCCATTGGTGGACAGTCTAAACTATTTCACTTTAGTGAAATTGAGCTGTCTTTTGTGAAAACCTTCTTCAATAAAGCAGCTGCAGAATTAATAATCAGTCCAGATTATCTGATGAAGCCTATGTTCTTCTTGTTGTCATCTATTGTGAAGCTCACCTTTTTTCTTTTGTAATTTTTTTTCCTTTCCCCAGGTCATCTCGATTCTGAGGCAGTTTTAGTCACACAAATTCACTCTGATAGAGCGAAAGCATGCTATGGATTAGTCTGTGACACCAGCTAATAATGGTCGTTTTACCGCATCTATTTCCCTTTCTCTTTTTGTTATCAGTTATATATATTTTTTTTACTCCTTCGATTATTTAGATTGATCTGTTGGACCTACAAGAGCTCAGTCAGTATTGATTAACTTTGAAATACATGCGCGTGCAAAAAGCTTTTAATTTGTTATTCAACTCCAATAGATCCAGTAATTAGCCTCCATTTACTGTCTCTCGCCCTTTAAGATCTTTATGCTGCAATAAAATGTTACTGTTCTTGACACTGTTACCAAAAAACGAAAACGAATTTATTTGATTCTCGACGATAGATCGATGGATGAGTCTTTGAGGAGAGGGAACCTTTTTTTATCGAAGGTACTGTTTCTTTGTTAAAATGGTAAGAAAAACACTCAGCCTATGTTCTTGGTTTCCTCCAGTGTTCTTAATGTGCATTTTAGTTAGAATTTCATTTTTCTTGAAAAAGATGGCAGTTTATCAGTCGCCTCCAATTACTCCTCTTCGGCGAGTACTTTTTAAAAACTTTGACTTTCAACTGATTCAACAGAGTCCGTTGAGCGTTTTTTCAATTTTTTTCAACACAAGACGAGTATTAAAATTAAATTATTTAGTGGATCTATCAGCTAAATAGGCGACGAATGAGAGAGTTAAAACCTTTTTCAATTATTTGACGAATTACCCTTTATACATACTCAATGAGGGTTAAAACTATTTTTTTTTCAGCTATTTTTTCCAATGTAATTATTCCGTTTGAGATACAAAACGTTGAACCGTCCAAAAGCAGTCCTATCCATGCAAGACATACAGGTCAGTAATATATCGTGTAACTGTAGGACAGTCGATAAGGGAGAGGACATTAGATGTCTCTTATGGACTGCGGTTTATTTCAGCTGCTCGATGAAAATCTTCTTGTGGTTACTTCCCGGATGCTAAGCTAAATTTAATTCTGGTGGCACCCCTAAATCCAGTGTCCTCAGGGAAAATAACATAACAACGCGACATGATATTTTAGGAGAGAGTTTAATATTTTCTGATCTGAGAGTGAAATCGATCTTGTTGTAAGTTAAATTAATATAACACATTATGCTTGAAACATACTATTTATTTAACACTGAAAGAACACATAAGCGATCTCATTTTCGATTATTACGCTTGCTGTATTACTTGCTTCCCCTATTAGGAATTAACATAATCATTCACATTGATCAGAAATAACGTTGTAAAAAAATACGAACTCGTTTACCGTATGAAACATTTTTCCTTAATATTAAAATATTGTTTTTGTTACTGGACGGGTATTTAAATACAAATGCTTGCGTTTTTCGAGTAGGTTAATGGCTGACATGGTAATTTTCTGTTATAAAAATGTTCACCGAAAAAATCTTTTTGTTATATATTAGAAAAGCTCCTTGCTGCGAAAATTTGCATGATCCCTTGTTGACCTCACGTAATTTTTCGTATGAGATTTACGATTTACTCGTTGATTTTATTGTATTCTTTCCCAGACACTCTGTTCATCAAGCTTCTTTTTGACTGATCGCTAATTCACTTGTTCCGCTATCGAATGCGTTTTGGGAGCCTCCTTCGCCGTAAAAAGGTTGACGACAGGGGAGAAAAGTTTCAAAAAACTGAATAAACCAGAGTCTAGATGGTCTGTTCATAAGTCTGTGTCCTACTTAATTTTTTCGTCGTCCTCATCATCCGTTGATTCGTCGTCGTTACTAGCGCCTGATGTTTCGAACAGTTTGTCCCACTCTTTGATCAGATCTTCGTAAGTGACACGTTCTGCGTCAAATGAACCACTTTGTCCATGTCTGAGAATGAATTCAAGTCCATTTTGAACCGCGTTCGCACTCAGTTCTCCCATACTTGTTATGATACGCAGCGGTTTGTCTGTAATTTCGCTTGCCTTTCTTCTAATCTTGGTCATTTTCTTCTTAAAACCCTTTCGCAGGCGATTTGGAGGCACAAAATAGCGAACTTCTTCTAAGTTGACCGCCCATTGAACTCTCTTGTCGGGCAACAAACTGCCGGTACACCTATCGTGGTTGAAACTATCCATCGTGTTTGTTTGTCAACACAAGATATCTTACTGACTGAGGCTGTTGGATGTGATCTTATATTCACACAACTAGCATCGACATCAAGTAGTGGCACTGTAGTCAGCAGTACATCCATAATTTAACCACTTGGATTTTCCCACGCAATGTCGCGTTTAATAGTTAGATATTTAATTGCCAAGTTCCCAAAGGGAAGCGGGGATATTTTTAGGTTCATTGACGAAAGCCAATTTCTATTTGGAAAGTTTAAATTAATTCATTTGTTCTACTCGCGTCATAGCTGGGAGTATTTGCGTCAGAAAACCGCAGTGGCGAAAAAGACTAGAATTTTCTCTTGTTCATTTTGCTTCATTACGTCTCAAAACCAGAATCTTTTTTCGTTGTTGAATATATTTTCTTCATCTTCTTTTCTTCTCGGTTACTATGTTTTTAATTCGTTTTTTGCTAGATTATTTCTCAACATGTTTTATGGTCATACTGAATAAGCAACAACCCCAAGAGCTGACGAACAGGTGTCTTTTACGCGATTGGTTACCCTACTAAGTGACTGACACTTGGCTGTCGGAAGTAATAAATGATTCTCTATCAAGTTTTATGAATACGTGATGGTTTTTTGTCTCCCAGAAAAACTCACGATTGGCAATTGAAAGTTCTTCGGGAAGTCTTTCTCAAATTTCATATCGCCTAAAAAGCATCACATATCGCCTAAAAAGCATCACATATCTAAAAAGCATCACATATCCCATTAGCTACTAACACCCGTTTAGATTCTGCATTTGTTTGCCATATTCACTCAAAACGCGATTCCACGCACGGATCAAAGGCACTGGTACGAGATTCGCTTGCGGATGAGATAAAGAATCGTTGAAAGCGGAAACCACCAGAACACATGACATAAACAGATAGCCTGTTGATTCTGATATCCACCCATAGCACCAAATTGCATTGCAATTTATAAAGAACGTACAGAGATAAGTCTTTGAGATGTGTCACTACCTTTCATAAAATCTAGGTTCTTATTTTGAGTGAGAAGCTTTTTTTCAATTTTTCTTGCATCGAAATACGTATGTCAAACTCAATTTGTTTGGTTGCGACGATCATGTTCACTTAAGCGAGTGTCAAAGTGTGACGTTGTATTCGTTAAACTGTCACGTATCGACACACTATTCTTAGCCTTTAAATGCAGTTAACTTAGTCAGTACGTCATGTATTACAAATTAAGTCTTTTTATTATACAGTAGTACCGGCATTTAATCAAGAATTCTTCTTACAGCGTCGCTTTTTGCACAAATATAAAGCTAACCATAGGTAAGAATGAATGGCATATCATAAATGTAACATTAAGCCAGCTCCTTGCTGCTAACCTTTTCTCCAGCTTGTTTGTGGTGGCCTATTGCTGCCAGCTTCTCAACTGTGATAACTATGACGAAACCACGATCAAAATGGACAGCGGAAAAACAACAGAATGGCACAACACGGACCTACAACTTTCTCAATGTTACCCTTTGTAATGCGTTTTTACACGTTGATCTCTAGGATTGATGGTTCGGGAATGAATTTATTGTGGATTCTTTGCTATTGTGTTTCTTAAATTTCCTCTCCTTTAGTTACATGTTTGACTGGTTCAGATAGGTGCCAGTCAATTTCGGTACTTACGCCATGAACACCGTGAGGCCGTTGGGTTATTTTTTCTCTTTAGTTTCTCTCTGTGTGGGAGCAGGAAGGATCAAACAGCGACAGAAATAGAAGACATCGCACGCCAGCGACCCGCCCTTAACTTGAGCTGCATCATTATATTCTAAACGTACGCGTGGTTACTTATTCTAGAGCCTGGCCAGTTAGCCGGAGATTGGCATTCTAGGCCTCCCTCTATACAAAAAGATACCATTTCATCTAAAATTGCGACCCACGGAAAGGGGTACCTGGAAGCATGGAGGACTTGCAAGGGAGGACATGGATTACCTTACATCCCGTTGGCTGGTATCGATAAGATGGTTCAGATGGTATCGACAAGAAAAAAGCCACCTTATCACGTTGTTTCTTGCACTAGGGAGTGCGGTAAGTAGTAATTGACACACGCTTACCATAACGACTGTATGAGCTCACCCAATTCAGCGGAAAAGAAAAACGAACCAGTCTTCCAGCAACGACTAATGGGAAAAAAGACGAAAACTCCCTACAAAAGACAAAAAAAGACAAACTGACTCAACTAACAACGCAGTCAGTGTTTTAGCATGTAGAGAAACCACGTCAAACACATTTAAGAATCAAAGTGAGTGGTTGTGCAAATTGAACTGCGAGGATTTTCCGACATTGTAAAAATTGCGACATGTCTCTCTAGTGCGTTTGATTTGCGAATGGAACCCGTCAAAAACGCGTTCGTCAAAATCTGAAACCCACAAGAAATGGAACGCGCGTCACGTGTTTAGTCTAGACAAAATCCCACCAAAAAAACCTTATCAAAAAAATTATTTCTTTAGCGGTAATTTTCATCTAAAATAGACCCGCCTGTAGATTAACTTGAGCGTGAGGATATTTTGATGTAGTTTTTTCAGTGGGTACGCTTCTAAAGAAATTGTGGTGAAGCATTGGTGAGGGCGAGATAATTCAGTTTTATTAAATGTGTTGATGGTATGAATTGGCCGCCTTTGAGAGTTTCTAAGGCCGACTTTCCGAGCCCTACGTCTGTATAATGTTATCTTCCCGTTTCATATTTTAATAACAATGATGATGATAATGATGATGATGATGATAATATAACAATAATAATAATAATAATAATAATAATAGATAAAGAACTGAATATTTTATTTGGGCCGAAAGTAACAAGGCTAACAATTGAACGTTCCCAGAAATGGGTTATTTCACAGAACTGTGAAATTGTAAAGAGATTTTCGTGCGTGTAACTATGCAAATGCATGAATACAGCGATATAATAGTTGAGAGAACAGATTTTAGCTTTGTATACTGAGCCTCTTAAGTACGTGACATAGGTAGCTGCAACCGGAAGTGATATTTAGAAAACACCTGTAGGGAAATTTCCCAGAAAACCACCGGATGCTTGTTTGTGATATCAAAGATTGCTTCCATAAGCACTTTTTCACTTGCAAGAAATTTCAGAAAATATACATAAGAGAAAGCGTTGCAACGGTGATCCTTAATGGAAAAATGAGTGAACAGAATTTAAACACTATCTTAAATCGTTTTACTGTTAATATTGTTCAGCTTCGTCAACAAAGGAAAACAGAAGCCCTAAACTGTTGGGAGCCTATCGTGAAAGAAATCTTAGAATATGTGAAAACGAAAGATGACCGATTCAGTGCTCTTCAAATCTTACCTACAGGAAGCTATTATGAAAGGGCCAAAGTAAAAGAGCCCGATGAATTCGACCTGATGTTAGTCATGGATAATTTAGAACTGGATGACGCACCATTTGAAGAAGACGATGGCTTCAGCGAGCCACCAATCGGTAAGATTAGGCCTGTTTAGACACTGACTTTTCATGAACAAGACCTTATTTGAATTTGGACCGATTCAAACTCCAAGAAGTGTGCCAGTAATACAGTTCAAGGAAATCTTCGTAAATGTTATGATTCAGGATTTGGTTTGGGAAATGTAGGGTTCGGTGTCTGATTCATGCTAGAGCCGCTTCAAAACCGTTTGAAATGTGTCCAAATTCCCCGACCAAGCGCAACGGTAAGAACACTCTAGCCGTTCCAAGTTCAATTAGCCGCTCTAAATGATTCAGAAGCCGAACTTTTAGTTTACCTAACTGAATAGTTGGAGGCTGAAACCGCATCTTAGCCATTCAAAATTGCAGAGCTTGATCAATTCCGCCATAAGTGCGTTTTGTACGGAAAAATGTACAATGTAGAGATACGTGATTTAAAATGGGGGGAAGAACCATGATGACTCTGTTAGGACATCGACATTATCACTTACTAAAAATTCTTGAAAGGAGGTGGATTTCAAGGGTTACATCAAGGCTTACAGTTTGTCAATTTGGCCGACGCCTTGCCCTTAATGAAACCTTTGGATTTTCCCAAGATAAGGAATTTTTATGTCTGATGATCAGCTAATGATATACATTTCAAGTCGAGAAAACCATTTCTGTACCATCAAGGTAATACATATCAAAATAAAAATTAAGTCTACAACCACTATGTCCTCTCAGCCATAAGGTTCTTATCTAAAAGTCCTATTTTTAAAAATGTCACCTAACCTCCACCAGATGAATAGGGGTCAACTTGTTTTATTCCTTTCCAGTATTTCTTCTGTTGTAAGTCCTATTGTTCAATAGACCACAACATTGATCAAGTGTTATAAAATACAAGAGTATGATCAAGTTTTCCTTACCTTGCTATACCAACAAGTCAGGGGGTATTTCAGTCAAGTTACTTGTTAGAAAGACTAATTTTGGGTTGTTGCTTCTCACTGCTTGGAAAGAAATATATTGGCAAGCAAGAAGTGACCACTGGAAATAAGTCAGGTGAAGGAAAAGCAATAACCAGAAATACCCATTCAGGCTGAGTCACGGGCAGAAACTTTTGTTTCCTTCTAATACAGGATTTACCACTGTAATGATTGACGAGGGTGAAGAATGGCTTTGGAAGGGAGACAGCTGTGTGAACCATAGAGGAATGCTGAATGCCTCACAGGTTAAAGCAGTTTTTAAAAGGCTTGTGGATGACGCCATCAGGAAAAAAAAGCATTTAAGGTAAAAAAGGGTTGATTAGTATATTATCTGGACGAGCAAGCATGTTCCCTATATAGGAAAAACATAATAAGAGTAACCTAGTGCAAGGGCCATATGCAATAGTGTGAGTGGGACTGGAAACGGCAACAGTCTTAAGTATGGCCCTGGGAGTGGCAAAATGCAAGAAGAAAGGAAAAGAGCAGGCATATGATTAAAATCTCAAAGAACTATTCAGCAATTGTAAGTGCTAGATAGAATAATAGTGTTGCACAAGGCTTTTTTAATAAGGATGGGCTGACACAGTTTTTACCACGTAGTATGACTGTCATACCATGAGGTTTTGGTATGGAAATAAAATTCACTTGCTCACTCCATTCTCATCAATTCATGTATTAAATGTGAATTTAACTCATTTTCCCCTGGCTCCCTTACTAGGTTTGGTTCTGTGCGCAAAGTCTTGTGATTGTGTTCTGTTCATGTATCTGGGGAGGAGGGGAAAGGGGGGAACATAGGCGTAAATTTCTCCCTAAGTGCATGGAGTGATCAACTTATTCCAAAATGGCATCCATACCCTAAAATTATTAAGGTGGTTTTTCTTTCCTTTGGCTCCACCCTTGATCAAAACACCAATGTAGCCCTCTAAAATGAGAGGAAATGTGTCAAAGAGTACTCAGTTGGAAAGAAAAGGACTTAGAAACATAAAAGCAACAATGACAACAGTCCCATGAATTTTTGGATAGAGAATTATTACTGGGTTAGGGATTTAGGTTAACCAGAACAAGGGTTTGTCTTTATCTTGCCTACTTTGTGCAGAGGCAGCCACCTTGTTATACAATCTATCATAACAAAATGTTTTAAAGGATCATAGTGGGAAATAATGGCTAGCCGAAAAAGTAACCTGATACTCTAATAATTCTGAAATTTAGGAATGTTGCTGTTAAGTCTGAAGGCCCAGCAGTGACCTTGAAAATAACTAGCACAAATGGAATAGAATATTCTATTGATTTGACACTTGCCATCAAGGAGAAAACCTGGCCAGAAGAAGCTGAAGAATGGAAAACAAGGCGCAGAGCTGGTAATATCACTATTGACACCTTAACTTACCTAATGGCCATAAAGTTCAGGAATCAGCAAACTTTTCTATACCAATTATTTGTCAACTACTTGCACTTATTGCTGTCTAACATTCAAAATGGTTGAAAAAAAATTATTTCTATCATAGAAATAAACTAACAAAATATAATCTGAAAAGTTTTGTTGAAGCACTTAATGAATTTTCATTGGCATGGAAAGACAGTTATTTAAACATGCACTGAAATCACTTAAATGTGAAAGAAACACTAACATCTACAGAGATTATTTTATTAAAATATACAGGGCAGTGCTTCTTAGTTATTGGTTCACAATATTTAACACAAAATATTTTGTGAAAGATTGTATTATTCTAGCTGTATGTTATTTTTCAGTAAAGTTTTTAACATTGGCTTTTTTTTTACTTATGAAAAGGTTGGCCCAATAACAATCTTGTGAGAGAAATTTGCAGAGAGGGATGTCATCTGGTAGGTAAGCAACCAAAGGGTCACAACATTGCTAACAAAGAGAAAGGATTCCTGTGGCGTTATTCCTTCTCAGCAGCTGAAAAGAGGCTATTCCTTCAAGGTGGGCAAGGTGAAGCCAACTCTTGCCGAAAGAAAGTTCTCCGAATAGTGAAGGCTCTTCGAGAAGAACTTAACCTGAAGCCATTGAAGTCATATCATCTAAAAACACTCTTACTCTATGAGTGCGAGTCCCACCCTCATGCCTCAGAGTGGAGAGATACCTTGGATGTTCGATTCATGGGCCTTCTTAAGAGGTTGGAAAAGTGTCTACGCTCAAAGAGTTGTGCCCATTATTTTATTGAAGGTTTAAATTTGTTTGAATCATTCAACCACCAAGAATGCCAGGAATTGGCTAATAGAGTGAGGGAAATTATAAGCAAACCAGTACAAGTGCTAACCAAACTCCTTTGGAAATACCAAATGGCATGAAATGAAACTAAACAAGCTACACTCATTGACTGCTTGTCTAAAACATTTTCATAATTGGTCAATTTAGAATCATTATGTGCGATAATCTTATGTACAACTGCACCACTGATTATTGTTGGTTCAAAACAAAAAAACAATGATAACTTCTTTAAGGATAGATAGTCCTAGACACATCTTGCAGCAAGTTTTTTAACACTGCTACATATTCTATCAACAAAGATTTGAATTAATTAAAGTTGCATAATATCTAATATATTCAACAAGTATTGCAAACAAATGATGCTGCTTGCACTAATCACAGGCAAGAGCTAGTATTTCTTGATTAATCTTGGTACCATAGGTCAGGATAAGGTCTAGGAAAAAATTTCTTAATAGACTCTGGGATAATTAAGGTAATTTTGCTTTGAGACATGGAATATTTATGTCTTTCAAAGAAGTCAGGGGAAAGTGAAATCTCAAAGGTAAACTCATTCATTTTATTTTGGCTTTTTGATGATGACTTTTGAACCCTGTGTTCATTCAGTTGCTTTCAAAAAATTTTAAGAAGGAGCCATGGATATCTAAATAATCAATTACTCAGGCAAATGTGTTTAAATATATGGATTAACATGGTATGCCCAAAAATAATACAGTCAAATATCTTTCAAAGGTTTGGGAATAACTTGAACTTTTTTTGAACAAACAGTATTTGAAAAGGGATTAGATTGGACATGCATGTGTATTCCCTCAAAGAGGAAAGGGTTAGAGTTAGGGTTTAGAACATTAGATTTGCCAAGGGAACATGAATAGGAAAACATATCTATCTCCTCAAATCCCTGAAGAACATTAAAATTAACCCCATTCCAAATGAAATTTAAAATCAGTAGGAAATGGCAAACTCCATTGAACTTTTAAGACTGTTATGGAACTGTTCACAACACCTCAAATTTTCACCATTTAAGGTGTAAAACTTCATATACCTGATTTCTTCAAAGTTGGAATGTCATGTTTACTGTAATTACTGACCAGATCTCTTTCCTCACACTTTTGTGTGATTTCCACCCCATCATAAGAAACATTCAGTAGCATTTATGAGAGTTTCCAGGTGTCAAAATGCACCAAGTGGTAATCAGGCATCAATACATGAAATGTGCTTGGGGTTAGTCCAACAACTTGTTAAGTAACTTAACACCTGATTCACTTTGTTACTAGACCCATGAAGGAAAGGAGGTACCTTTTCAGGTTCAGTCTTCTACTCTCTAAATCCATTCCAAGTTTAAAACAATCACCAATATTTTACATACTTAGATTCAGTACATATACTTTCCCTGACAAAACACCATCTGTTTGCAAGGTCCTTTCCAATCAAAGTAAAATCTGTTGGTATATTCTTTTGGAATGTGAACATGACGATTTTACACACTTAGGGTCAATACACATACTTTCCCTAGCAAAACACCATCTGTTTGCGAGGTCCTTTCCAATCAAAGTAAAATCTGTTGGTATATTCTTTTGGAATGTGAACATGACGACTTATTCTTGGTTTAGGAAAAACCTCACTCCTGATCTGCTCCATTTCCACACCTTCTTCTTTACATTTGACAACCCACACCATAAGTTTCTTGAGATCAATAGCTAATTTAGAATGCAGAGTTCTTTCAGGTGTGTTGATGATGTAATTGTCAAGTCCACCAGCTTTGTCAATACATCTCAGAGCAGGCACACTGACCTTCAGTGACAAGTCTTGTTCTAACACTTGACTGTAGAATGTCTTTTCAAAGACATTTGGCTTCCACACTCGTGGAGTTCTTGGTAAAGTGATAATAAGTAAAACATATTTTAGTAAAAAGTTTTACAAATTATACAAATGTTCTCACAAGCCACCACTTCACTTGATATTTATCCACAATTCTAACACATCAAGTACATAAAATAAATTACATAATTACATTATTAAATAAATAGGTCAACCGGAACAATATTCAATTATTTTTATTCTATAGTATGCTAAATTTTTCCTGAGGTGAGTAACTAAGATTAACATTCATATTTTATTCAAGGTTACTGTTTTTAGAACCCTTGCTTGACTCATTCTCATAAAAGTACTTAATCATACCAGGATTATGCCTTGAATTTAAGTTTTGAGTTATTGAGCTTACTTTTTTCCAGACCATGTTGTTCGGTAGCCAAACACATAAGTTTCTCCGTGGTAAAGACCTTTATGTGGTGCTTCGCGAGACTCTTTCATTAGAGCGCGTCCTTTTGCTTTCTGTGCGACCGTCCTACCAAAGAGTAAGAAGCGAAGGCCAAGGCGTACCATGATGAAAAAGAATTTGCCAACTTCGGACGAGTGATCAGCCAAATATAAGTGGTTTACTGCGCAGGTGTGAAGGCGTTTGACTACTATACATGACTGGTACACAATATATCGTCAGCTCATACATAAATCCGCTGAGATTGTATGCCGTAGTAAGCTCGTCGATGGTGTTTTGGCGCCAACCTCCATCAGCACGACTGACAAATCAATTAAAAATAAAGAGAATTTGGGAATTAACAATAAGTCTACATTATTTTACTCATTTTGAAGTGTGTACAAGTACTAGTATGTCACTGGGGAGGCGATCTGACAGGTAACAACCGAATTCCACACACTTTCAAGGGAAAGGAAACTGTGGTATCCACATGCGAAAACAGAATGCCCTTTGTTGTTTTCATTTTGGTTGAATATTTCCATCAGTGAAACGAAAACAAAGTCGCCAACATTCAATCAGTGTACAATTATAGTGTGGGTGTGACATTTTTTTAGGTCATGAAAAAACGTTGAATATATTAGTACCTGACAATGTTTTACTTTAAGTGAAAGCGTAGCTTTAATTTGCATTTCCAACAACAGACAACTTCCAGCTATCGCTCCTACGTGCTTCAACGTCTAATCTAAGTCCAGTTATTGATAGTCTTTCGCGGTGTACATCTTATTTTGTTCTTCTTCCTCGAATGTCTCTCCGTAGAGTGCGTAAAAAAGTAGATTATGCAAAGTTTTGTCAAGAAGAAGACAACAGCAGCAACAATAGTGATGGTAAACACATTTTGGATACATTACTTTGACCAATTGTTTTGGCTCTCGTATCCCTAATGATTCGTTAACTATTTCCCGCGACCGTGATTATCTTTGACTTGAACTCGTACCTCAGACCACAGCTTGGAGTCGCTTTTATGATAGATGACAGTCAGTTTTATTTGCATTACATGTGATCAAAAGATTTGTGATGTCTGGTTCCTCATGGCAGTTCAACATTTCTAGTCTCAACATTTTAAACGTCATTAGAAGGAAGCTTTGTTATGTGCATTTTCTAATTAGAAGGATTTCCAGAAATAAATTTTTATCCATGCTGGGTCAAGCAATTTAATCTAAGTGATTTTACTTTCAACTTTTTTATATAATGCCACAACAAACATGAGCCCATTTTACATAAAATAGACCACTACATTAATTTGACAGGGAATTGTTGGGATTTGGGGTGACGAAAAATAGCTTTTCATGTTCATGTTTTGTTTTCTGGTTTTCAAAGATGATTTCCAAGATGAAGCAGGGCCGCCACCACCACCAAAGAAAACGAAATCAAAAGCCAAGTCAAATATTAAATCAAAACAAGAAGAGACAAAGAGTAAAGAATCAGGAAGTTTAAAAAGGAAAGAAAGGTTTGTGCACATGTGATTGGAAAGCACATTGAAAGTAGGGGGTTTTGAGGAAGCAATTACAACTTTGATTACCAGTATTGTTTACTAGGATCATATATGTAATTACTGGGGAATCTTCATTGATAAATTGGCTTCCATGATTCTTGTATTTTAGGTAGGAACATGACCTTTCAATAGCAAAGTGTGTTGTGTTTTGTTTTTTGTTTTTTGACATGGTTGTTGTTAATTTTTAAGGGATAATAATAAGGGAAAGTAATATTTGACACAAGATTTTTTTTCCTTTTGTGTATCTCTCTCCTTCTGAGTCAAGGTAGATTCACATGTGACAAACCTGAATCAAAGCAGACTTCATGGTTAACATGAGTTTCTCAACTGTAACTTGCTTACTGATGACTGGCTCGTTTTAAGGGATGTCTGATTGGCCTTTTGATTGGATTTCAAAATAATAACTGTTTAGCAGGGTTATCAATTGTAACTTGATACAGAATCAAGATCATAGATATCAAAGGGACTCATGGCTAACTTGCTTCATTGTCTGTTGACCTTAGTGGGTGTTTTACCTCTATGTGTGGGTTTACATTCATAAGTCATTACACTCTGATCAATTTGAAGCT